GGGTGAGTTGATTTGTCCTGCATCCTTCATGGATTCACTCCATCAAACCCCGATCTGTTTAATCTGGAATAATCATCCTCGCCTGGCTGTGCAATTGTAGAGTTCTGAAAGGATATTTTTCACGCAACTGCCCATCTGTTTCCAAGCGGCTGTTTTAAAGTAAGCTATAATTTCCAAGAGACTTTTTTAAAGCCAGCCACACATTGTCCTCATTAATTTCCAGCACTGCATTAATGTTACCCTCTTGTCTACTGTATCGTGGCATCAGTACTGCAGCCTTGCTAGTTTCTATCCTAATTTTTCTTTTTAAGGGCAGCTCGTTTTTTAATCCTCAGAAGAGAAGTACCTTTATAGGGTACTACTTGACTTATGTTGAAACAAAGCTTTCTTTTATTAATTGAGACCTGTGGCTGGGCCGCAATGAAAGACGTGATTGAACGCCAAAGAAGAATTTTTTTCTTGAGCCAGGATGTCTAGTTCCAGCGCAATGAATATCTGTCTTTATTGACCAAGATGTTATTGAGAGCTCGTAGTTAAGTTCAAGATTTGGCGTTCGGTCACCGGCCTGCTATACTATTCTGCTTTATTTCAAAAAGTTATAAAGGAACATATTTATATTCTTACTTTAATAGGAAAGTTGCTTCGTTTCTTACCATATTTGGAAAGTCCCTACATCCTATTTGCCTTCAACCGATTAGATGGCCTAAGGCAGGGGTAGGCAACCTTGGCTCTTTTATGACTCGTGGACTTCAACTCCCAGAATTCCTGAGCCAGCCATGCTGAGGGGAAAGGGAGAGGTTTCCAAGCTGAGCCATGCTGGCTCAGGAATTCTGGGAGTTGAAGTCCACAAGTCATGAGGGGGCCATAGTTCCCCCATGCTGGCTCAGGAATTCTGGGAGTTGAAGTCCACGAGTCATCAAAGAGCTAAGATTGCCTACCCCTGCTCTAAACTAATAAAGTCTACATTAATTAACATTAATTATGCTTTCATATGTTCCTCTAACTGAGGGGTCTTCAAACTTGGCTCTTTTATGACTCGTGGACTTCAACTCCCAGAATTCCTGAGCCAGCCATGCTGAGGGGAAAGGGAGAGGCTTCCAAGCTGAGCCAGGCTGGCTCAGGAATTCTGGGAGTTGAAGTCCACGAGTCATACAAGAGCCAAGGTTGCCTACCCCTGGCCTAAGGCAAACCATATCCTCGTAACTTTTCTCCCTTCCTACCAAAACAAATAAGGAATCATCCTGAAAGTGCTGTCTTCCCAGATGTTGTTTGAATTCCTACCAGCCTTAGCTATGGTAAGGATGAGCAGAAATTGTCACCCAATAACATCTGGAGAACATGTCCCTCCTCTGCCTTATGAGGCAGCTATGGGATGCTTTGAACGTTTTGAACACAGGCCGATCAATGTTATTAGATCTATTGATTGCTGCCAAGAAATAAATAGTTCAGATCTTCTGGTTTCTGATTGACAAAGGCTGAGGACCAATGGCACTTTCAGTCACAAAGCCAGAGAGCTATTTGGTTGGAAAGTAGGTATATATAGAATATAAAATGCTGGATTAGGTCAGCCTTGCCAATTCTTGTATCCTAGGACATGGCTAAACGGCAGATAATAATAACAGCAGTGTGACTAATTCGGCCGAAAGGAAGTTATTTGATCTTCAGATCAGTTAAGTTGATGTGATTACCATGGTGTAATTATTTGAAATCCAGTGTGATCCATAGTGAAACCCTTCCTGACTGAATAGAGTTGAAACTTTAGAAAGTGTGGAGAGAAGAGCAACTAAGATGATCAGGGGACTGGAAGATAAAACATATGAAGAACAGTTGCAGGAATTGGGGATGTCTAGTTTAACGAAGAGAAGGATGAGGGGGGACAGGATAGCAGTGTTCCAACATCTCAGGGGCTGCCCCAAAGAAGAGGGAGTCAAGCTCATCTCCAAAGCACCCGAAGGTAGGACAAGAAGCAACGGATGGACACTAATCAAGGAGAGAAGCAACCTGGAACTAAGGAGAAACTTCCTGACGGTTAGAACAATAAATCAGTTGCTTCCAGAAGTGGTGGGCGCTCCATCATTGGAGGTTTTTGAGCAGAGATTGGACAGCTGTTTCTCCAGAATGGTACAGAACAGTGTTTCTCAACCTTGACAATTTTAAGGCACGTGGACTTCAACTCCCAGAATTCCACAGCCAGCATTGCTGGCTGTGGAATTCTGGGAGTTGAAGTCCACATGCCTTAAAATTGTCAAGGTTGAGAAACACTGGTATAGAACCTCCTGTTTGAACTAGGGCTGGACTAGAAGACCTCCAAGGTCCCTTCCAACCCTGATGAAATCCAATCCGGTCAGCCCTCCGTGTTTCACCCCCTTGAAGAAAACTTGAGAGACACTTTGCCATTTGAAGGGATTAATCAGCTACACAGGAAGGTCTAATCCACAAGGCTGACCAGTTTTGAAACCCTCCCAGATTCCGTTGCATCAATTGGGCAATCCCCCACTCCTCCCTTCTCAGATGGCTTCTTCCTTGTTTTTACAATAAAAAGGAGAAAATTCTGGCGTGGGGGAAGGGAGGCCACTCCTTACAAGCCACTTCCCGAAAAGCGGAGGGGTTTTAAGGAAGAAATTTTACTCTGGAGCCACATTGCAAGCACGAATTCCCCCCCCCCAAAAAAA